TTTTTTACCTGCCAAACTAAGCGTTTAATATGACCGTAATGTGTGTCGGGTGGTTACTTCTGCCAATGTTGTGCTTTAAAACTTTTAACACTTGTCGCTATGCAATGGTGTAATGTTTGCGGGGTTGAAGTGCAGACTTTTAGTTTTCATTACCTTTGATGTGTTGCTCAGCTTTTAGCAAACTCTTTAGGAAAAAAATAGCTGAAAATTTACTCTCCTTCAGGCCATCCATGATGTAGGTTTTGGGCTTTGTTTCTTCATCGGAACAGATTTTGTGAAATTTAGCATTTCATCACTTGCTCACCAATGAATCCTTTGCAGTGAATGGGTGCTGTCAGTATAAAGGCCCAAACAGCTAATAAAAACATCACAATAATCCACACCACTCCAGTCCATCAATTAACATCTTGTGAATTAAAGCTGCATGCAAGAAACAAATCAATCATTAAGATGTATTAAACTTCAGATCATTGTTTTCAAATATCTTCTTCCATAATAGTCTTATATCCATAATGCTGCTTTCTTTAGTGAAAAAGTCACCATTTCTGAATCAGGAGAGAAATATGCACAGATGAAGCACCATTTACCAGCGACAGTCCAAACAGTCCAAAACCGCTCTAAACAAATATGGATTTTAGTGTGAGAGGACATTAGGAGATGGACTTTTTGACTAGAGGATGCATTAGTATGTATTATGGACTCTTGTTTTAGCCAGAAATGGTTTAACATTAAAATGCCTTGATGAATTTCTTTCTTACAAACATGCAGCTTTTCACTTCACAAGATGTTAATTGATGGACTGGAGTCGTTACTTGTGGATTATTGTGATGTTTTTATCAGCTGTTTGAACTCTCATTCTGATGGTACCTATTCACTGCAGAGGATCTATTGGTGAGCAAGTGATGAAATGCTACATTTCTCCAAATCTCTTCTGATGCAGAAAAACCTCATTTATATCTTGCATGGCCTAAGTGCATTTTCAGAAAATGTAAATTTCTTTGGGTGCACTATTTTATTTTTTAAACTATTGTATGGAGAAGCATTTTGTTAGGTTTGTCAGATATCTTTTTTGATATTGTCTTTTCCTTCATCATGTTTGATTCAGAATGTTTCTGACTATCATGACAAGCATATAATTCAGATTAACTAGATCTTTTAATTTTTGAAGAAAACATGAGCTTGACTATGTAGATGGTCTTCTTAAACGTGGTTTTGATTTGGTTTCTGTGCAGTTGCTATTTCAGAGTGGTTGCTAGGAGGTTATATACTGGCACAAGTCAAAAGAGCCATAATCTGGTCTGCATATATGGCTTGTGATTTTCAAAATAGGACACTTTGACAGCATTCATTTCCCAGGTTAAAATTGTAAGGGCCTCATTTATAAAGTGTGTATGCTCAGATTTGATCTTAGAGTGTGCGTACACTTAAATCCACGCCAACACTCATATTTGTAAAAACTGCCTTTGACGTGGAAAAGTGCTTAGCGTCACATCAGGTTCTGAGCAGACATACACACTTTTTCTTGTCGGAGTACTGCAGGTTTTTGGAAATGTAAGCTGTTCTTGCAGCTCGCTGTTCTAAATGAAAGGATTTGGATGACAACTGGTGAGCTTTTATATGTTAATGACATTAATTAGGAGTCGTTTGAAACAATTCAGTTGCCGGCAAGTTCAAGATCATTTGCGATTCATAGATTTCACATCTGAAAGAGAGGCGTACGTGTGTTTTCTGTGCGTACATTCATTCTATGAATCACACATACGCATATTTGAGAGATGATTGTAAGATCAAATTTAGGATGCTTTCTGCGCAACATTTTATAAATGAGGCCCAAGACTTTTTTTCTTTTTTTTAACGAAAATAGCTAATCTATTATATGTGCTCTTTCTTCCCATTGTAATGTCCTCATACTCACTTTTTAACATGTGAAAGAGGATTTTTATAAAGACACAGCAAATAACATCCAAAAAGGACCATTTAATTTTAAGAGGCAGACTAAGATCATGAAAAGCTAAAATTTATTTTGGCACTTTACTATCATTAGCTATACAGTAGAACTCAGAGATAAATAAAACACAAAGTGGCACATTTTACCCCACTGTCTGCTTGCCCAATATGAGAAACTCACTCTGATGAGATTCGATTTTTTGGTCTAGAAAAGCTCTTAAACTCCCTCAAGGATTACATGATTTTAATCGCATTATAGTAATATTTAGCTAAAGAGGACAATCAGTTAAAATGGAGAATGATTGCAGGCTTTCTAGATTTTTGAAATGAGCTGGAAAAGTGGTTAAATAGCTTTTAAGGCAATGGTCTTGGTAATTTGACAGTGGTGTGATTTTTTTTATTATTTATTAATTTTATTTGAAGTTCATTTCAGTTGAATCTTAATATATTGTAGGCATCTATGCTATAATACTGGCTTCATACCTGTCATGATTCCATGAATAATAATCTAGAGTGTTCTAATAAAGCAGAATAATAATAACTCCGATGTATTGCAGTGCACATTTGTGTTGCGTTTATGAAGGCAATAGGGAATGTGGGATTAGTTTTCAGTCTGTACACCCTTAAGGGACTTAATACTGATACTGAAACAGCTGGGTTTCACAGTGTTCCCTGAAAATCCCCCTTCATTATGATAACACCATTGACAGAGAACATCTTCATCTGCCTGAAGCAATCACATCTAGACATGAGTGGCTCATATATACAGAGTTCCAGTCAGGGGTAGAGTATCAAATGCTATCACTTTAAAAGCCATACGTTCATCATGTCTGATAGAGCAATTATACAGTGGACAGAGTAATCTCTAGTTGTCCAGTCGAAACAGTAATTACAAGGCTTTTCTTCATCTCCTCATTTGTACTTGTCATGCTAATTACACTATCTATCTATCTATCTATCTATCTATCTGTCTGCTCAACTAATGCCATAAGTCTGGGGCGAAAGTATTTGTTTGGAGAACTAATGTATAGGAAAACATCAAATTAATTAGCATTTTTCTATCTATATCTATATCTATAGATAGCATCTATCTATCTATCACTACTACTACTACTACTACTACTACTAATAATAATTAATCAGAATTAGGGGTTAATTGTGTTTAAATGCGATGCAAAATATCTTATTCGACCTAAAAACAGGCTTACTTTTTTAGAAAAACAAAAAAGCTAAATATAATTTACTATTTATTTCTTGTAATTTTTGAGTGAAATATGACCTGGATATGTTTCTTAAAGTAGATGCATTGCACATGTTAAATTGCCTAGATTGCTAATAGGTATCAAAAGTGTTGACACATATAATAAAGCATAATGAAATATGGTAATTGCATAATCTGCAACATTACATTTACAGCATACAATTTTTCCATCACAGGCGTATGAGCATATTTTACATTTAATGGTTTAATGATGTGATTATGGTTAATTGTTAAGCCTGACAGCCATGCAGCCATTGCATATGGCTTCAGCTTCCACATGAATAAACTAAATGCACTGCTGCTGAATACATGACATGATTTGCCCATTCTACATATTTTAAAATGACTGTTTTATAACAAGGAATTATATTGCTAAATATCTTTCAAAGAAATGGCCACATTAAAATATGTTAGGACCCAAAGGCTTTTTCCTCCATTAATTGCTAGCCAGCAAGCCACTACAGTGTATGGCACTGATGTTAAAATGCTTACGGTGGCCACAAACTATTAGATTTCACTCTGCTTTGCCTTAAGAGCAAAAGACAGGGTATATCCAGCCATCTCAATGAATTTCATGACAGCTAGAGTCAAAACTAGCTAGGTTAAGCTACCCATTACCAACAATGGACACCCTAAACACAACGAACAGGAAAGACTTGATTTGACAAGGTTCTGATATTTATTTAATACTTAATCTAAACATACATTTTAATATGTCGTTTGCAAATATCTGTGGTACTGCAAAGAGGAAAGAGAATCCGTTGACATCGAAATCCTGACATCAAAAATATTTGGTGTCGTATCAACAAACATCTCAGAGAAACGGCCCCTGGAATAACATAGAACTGTTTAGCTACAGACAACAACATGAAATCGTTAACTTTAGATGCGATGGCATTGATATTTATCAAACGCTATGAAGATTGCGAAACATCGATTCAAACTGGTGTCATTTTAGGATCTTGGTGACTTTGAACCTGCAGTTTAGTTCTAGTTTTCAGAAAAGTACAGCAGCATGGTTACAGACTGGACTCAGCCATGATGCATTTCCCTCCGACAATATTAGAGACCCTGTATTATTAATGAGCCGCCACGTGCTCATTTTAAGATACTGTGTGATATTTATGTTCTCTCCTGGCTGACCCTTTCTAAAGAGTACGTCACAAAATAACGCTTGTGTCGAAAAAGAAATCAAAACAAAAAAAAAATAAGTTAACAGGTTGACAAGAATATAAATTTACAGTATATACAATCACGTATGATGAAAATATATCAACGCGTCAGTATTCTAAAGGTTCGAAGTTGCCCGCTTGAGAGCTATAGATCATCAAATCAAAGTTGCAGGAAGAAAAAATAAGAGAAAAGGATGCTGACCGCAGCATCGACAAAATAATCGAAACCTAATAAGGCTTTCCTCACAAAATCCCAGCTGTTAAAGCAGAGCAGAACCAAAGAGCAGCCGTCTTGAAAAGATAATATATCAACAGCACTAAACATGACAGGCACCCATACTTTACCTTCAAAATGAAAGAAAGAAAATAAATAAAAAATATATTCATATATGTGTGTATATATGCTTATAAAATGAAACACTGTAAATCATCATTTCTCAAACACAGTGCCGCCACACCGAAGGCAACATTCTGCTTTCGCCATCACTTTTTAGGAAATTTTTTTTGTAGTATTTGTAGAATAATTCTGTACACTATATACTGTAAACAAAATGTAAAAGTTTGTTTTTAAATATTTGTTTTTTAAACTTTTTTTCTGTATACCCAGTGTATCGAAAAAAAGTGTTGCAGGCACTTAAAGTCCATCTCCATCGTGTTGGTGGTTTTACAGTGGAGCGCCGACGCGGGGAAAAGGGCTTGTTTGGTTATTCCTGGATTGTGTTGGGTTCTGATGAGACGTCGCACCAGTCTCAGCCGAGGATGTCCAAGTAGACAGGCGTGGCTTTTCCCAGAGCATAAAGGACTTTCTGAATGTCTTTGATGTTCAGTCTTTGTTGCGGCTCTCTTTGCCAGCAGCCTAACATGAGGTCGTACACTTCCTTAGGACACAGGCGAGGCCTGTCTAGAACCCGACCTTGGGTAATGCATTCAATGACCTGCAAAAAAGAGAAAGACTGAAATGAGCAAATGTGTGCAATTGATTTAGAGGTGGTGTGTTTACTTTTTCATGCTATTTCAGTCAAATAGAACTCATGTTGCACACTGTGACTCTATTGGTTTGAGCCAAGGTTATTATAGTTTTGAATTTTTTAATTCGTTTTATTTTAATATAGTTTTCAAATTTGCTATAAAATTCAGTTTAGTTTTTATTAGTTTCATTCATATTTTTGTTAGTTTTAGTTTAGTTATTTAACCATAATCATGATATTGTAACTGTGGTGTCTTGCTCACTTTTCCGTGAACAGCCATGCATCAAATCAAAACTGGGACTAATGAAATTCAATAATAACGGCAATCGCATTTAACAGTAAAGGCTTGTATTTGAATGTTCTTTTCATTTATGAAGAATTATAAGCGTGTGTATGATGTGATTTAGCCAATGCACATTTGTTCAAAAGCCTGGCAGAGTGATCACAAGATGCTAGGCAAAAGTTGTTGTTTACAGAAAGGATGCGCGTTCTCATCTTTTTTTCTGTAAATGATCATGTTGCGCTGCATGTCTTTTTCTTCAAAGCACCAACTTAGAATGCCTAATGATGGTTTGATTGCTTGTGTTACATGATAAAATAAATAATCTTGCTTATCTGATGTAATAGATTTAATGCTAGTGCGGTTCGGGTCGTGACTCGCGGTCTTCATGTCAAACGGTTCTCGTCTGGTACAGAATTAAATTAGTGCTGCTGTCAGATAATTGGTCGGGTGTTCTGTTAAGCACTGCTGGTGCACGTTTACCAAACAGGACCTGTGCAGGCTTTAAACTGCTTTGCGTCTCTCCGTCAGATAACCCCATGTGCGTGATGCGCCATTACAGGTAGGCTATTTCCCTAAACCTCCACACAGCTGTATATTTTTCCGCCAAAGGGTGAGAACATAATGATTACGAAAACGATTATTTATGATAATTATTATTGTATTTCAGTTCGTTTTTCAATAACTGTTGTTAGTTTAGTTTCGTTTTAGTTTTTCAATTATTTTGACGTTTTTATTTTATTTCAGTTTACGAAATTGTTTTTTCATCAATCGTTTTAGTCTTAGTTTTAGTTTTCGTTTACGAAAATAACCTTGGTTTGAGCATCAATCTGATACAGCAATGTTGGTTGAAATGTCAAATGTTGGGTGGGATTTTGACTCTCTATTTGTCCCATTCCCATAATTTGCTCACACTAAACTCCCAATTGATTTGTATTAGCATTCTAATCTAAAATATTAGGCATAAAAATACTTAGCACACATATACACTACCATTCAAAGGTTTGGAGTCCGTAAAAAAAAAAGTTAAAAAATGTTTTTGAAAGAAGCTAAGGCTGCATTTTTTTTCTCATCAAACATTACAGTAAAATTTTGAAATATTATTACAATTTCAAATAAATGTTTTCTAATTTAATATATTTCGAAATGTAATTTATTCCTGTGATGAAATGCTGAATTTTCAGTATCTTTACTGCAGGCTTCAGTCTCACATCCTGATTAGGTGCTAAATAAACATTTCTTATCAATGATGAAAACAGTTGTGCTGCTTAATATTTTTGTGGAAACCAGGATGCTTTTTCCCCAGGATTTAATGCATCCTTGCTAAATAAAAGTATCTTTAAAAAAAGTATCCTACAGAACCCACACTTTTGAATGGTAATGCATTTAAAAAAAAAAGATTTTTAATTAGGCTGAACTATTTTTTATAAATTCTTTAAATAAATATTATGAAATATTTTAAAATAAGAGGTATATAATAGTTAAATATATAAAATATATATATATATATTTAAATATAACACATTTGAATAAATAAGCTTTCCATTGATGTATGTTTTGTTAGGATAGGACAATATTTGGCCGAGATACAACTATTTGGAAATCTGGAATCTGAGGGTGCAAAAAAATCGAAATATTGAGAAATCGCCTTTAAAGTTGTCCAAATGAAGTCCTTAGCAATGCATATTGCTAATCAAAAATTTGGATATATCTATGGTAGGAAATTTACAAAATATCTTCATGGAACACGATCTTTACTTAATATCCTAATGATTTTTCGCATAAAAGAAAAATGTGTAATTTTTACCCATACAGTACAGTGTATTGTTGGCTATTGCTACAAATATACCCGTGCTACTTATGACTGGTTTTGTGATCCAGGGTCACATATATAGAGAGACTATGAGAGCCTGAATATGAATATGAGCTTGACATAATGTAAAACAGGACTGACAATTCCACGAGAAACGGATATATAATTCAGACTTTGGACCTATTCTACCTTTTTTAACAGCCCTCGCGTCAGTGCACATATGATGCCTTAAAATACTTTCTAGGTAGACAGCTCACAAGGTTTTCCAGCCGAACTGTGTGTGTGTGGTGAGATGTGAGATATATATATATATACATACAGACCATCTGAGAGGACCTTAATGAAAGTAACGGATATAAAGTTGTTCTTCTCAGCGCATATTGGACTCTAAATGGAATTCTTATATATTACAATTAGACATAAAAACAATACATAACACAGTGATTATCCTGATCCACTCTGTTAAACACAGAGTTTGCGAATGTAACAAATAAATAAAACAAGGACATGAGATGATTATTAAACATAAAAATATAAATTGTATTCGCTTTAATAATACCAATGATTTGTTCCTTCACTATTTGAGCCAAATTGACTAAACAATAATGCATTAATTGTGCATGCACTCAGCTCGATTAAAATGGTTTATTTGCAAATCTATTTCTGTGCCAGCAGGAAATGTCCACGGGACTGCCGGGTGTTACTGGAGTCCTTCCAGCTCAGCGTGAAATTCTCTTTGTAATTACTATTCCCTCTGTTGTGAGCCGTTACATTGATCCTACTTCCGGCTGGCAGAGAGCAGACTAATGGATGTCTACCTCCACATTAGAAATTAGCCAAGTTCCTGTGACTACTGTCTGCTGCATATAGTCAATAACTTTTTCAGCCTGTGTTCTGTTAATGTGTCTGTGTTTATTTGTATTTTAGCTGTTCTTATTGCAAGTGATAGTAGGGAGAGGATGCAAAATGAAGGTGCAAACAGGAAGTCTGCAGCGAGACATGATAGCATCACATTATGAATTGTATACTGACATGTTTCATAAAACAATGATGTGTGAAATCACACTTGTGTACTGTGGTTGGACAAGGACTTGTTTAGCGCACACTGTACTCATTCTGACACAATGCTGACATGTCTGTAACATTTTAGAAATGTACAATATACTGTATGAAGTATGAACACTCCAAAAAAGGCGTGTCTTAGTATTTTTGTCTTGTTTAGTCAAAATATCTAAATTCTTAAATCAAGATGCATTTACTAGATAAGCAAAATCGCATAAGATATTTAGCATTGTTTCTTGCTGGGTGGGGAATCCAAATTAAGTGAATTTTACTTAAAACAAGTGAAATTATCTGCCAGTGGGGTAAGTAAAATGCTCTTAAAACAAGAATAATTTTCTTACCCCACTGGCAGATAATGTTACTTATTTTAAGCCAAATGCACTTAATCCCCCCCCCCCCACCAAACA